ATCGGTATCGGTGCAACACTATTAAAAACCAGGGGCCACCAAAGCCTAGGGGGCCCAAAGCAAACTTCTCATCAGATTTATCTTGAAAGATGAATTTGTCTGTAAACGGTTTACACTGGCTCTTCCTCGTCTGTTTGTCAATCTGGCTCCCAGATCAGTAGCTTTTTTTTCTTGTAGAAGTAATGATTTCTGCAGGGTTGAAAACATATTGTTAGAATGCATAATTCTATCATGAAACTGTGTGTTTTGTTTTTTTATTGCTATACAAATCATTAAAAGTGCATAGAACCCAACAATTATTCACTCTTGCACCCCCCCTGGTTTCTATGGGGAAATAACTGGTTAGTTGGCTCATGCCTTGGACCGGCCCTGGTCCAAGGCATGGTCTGAGTTCCACCAGATTCCTTTCTAAGATCCTAACTTACCTTGTCCTTCCTCCTCTTCTCCCCTTCTTGCTCCCAACCCCCCCTCCCTTTTTTTATCCCGCCTTCTCTCCTTTTCCAGATGCAAGGTGTGCCGTCCCCCCCTCCTATCATCATCATCACCATCATCGCTCCCACGCCCTCTCCTTCCACGCTCCTGCCTACCACCGTCCCTCTCACGAACGTCCCCCCTACAATCGTCCTTCATATGACCGTCCCTCCTTCGATCGCCCCATCTTTGACCGCCCTTCCATCGACCGCCCTTCCTTCGACCGCCCTTCCTTCGACCGCCCTTCCTTTGACCGTCCTGCCTACGAGCGTCCTTCCTACCACCGTCCATTGCACGAGCGCCCCACCCAAGACCGCCCCTTGCACGACCGCACACCCCTCGACCGCTGGAACCCCCGTCGCTGTGTGAGCTCCGGACAACAGTACAGCATGTTGGACCAGGAAGAGGTACAGTGCTCTACATGTTAGGAATAAGCTGCATATGCATCATCGAGCAAAAGTGTTGTTTCCTTTGCTGCAGAAGAATAAGAATGTCTTTTAGCTGTTTGGATTTTATTTCTTTAAATTGACACTGTGCAACTTTTAGCCATTGGGAGGTTCTAGACCTGTAACCTCTATGGTTTAGCATTTCGGAGTTCCTGGTAAATTCACAACTTCATTCATCTCTAACGAATACATCCTACATCAAACATGTATGATAATCTCTATGTCTGTTCAGGTAATGATCAGATCTGCTTTGTTGGCGAACATCAACTTTTTTATGGTTAGCTCTTGTCTTTAAGTGGAGCTCAAACTACGGTATACTGTGCTTTGGGTCACATCCCGCATTCAGTGACAGATCCAAATATTCATGTTACATAGAAGAGTTTAAACTAAAAGAAAAAGACAATTAGAAGAGTTTTATTGATACAATTACTTCACTCTTTGGCGCTCAGACCTCGGCAGGAAACATTAGCACTGAATTTTGCTTGGATATGCATAAGAAGGAGTACAAGAATAGAGATGTTTCCCCCAGGCTTGAAACTGGTGGTGGAGTGGAGATAGCTGAAGTAGGTTCAGTCCATACACTGCTGGTTGATGAGGTGGTCTGCTTGAGCTGTATTGGTGAGATCCCGTAGGCTGCATGAGCTAATACTAGTGCTTCCTTCAGGGACCTGGGAAGTCCAGCGTGGATAAACACAGGTTGCATGATCCTGTCCATGATGACCAAGCATGAATCAATAGTGGAGAAGAAAAACTCATCTTTGGGAAGAAACCTCTGGCAGAACCAGGCTCAACATGGTGGTCTTCTGCTGGACTTGTTAAACATGAGACAGGGAATACAGTACAGAAGTTCGGGAGGAATTAGACTCTCCCTATTAGAGATTTGCTCCGCATATCCATCTGGAAACCTTCGGTTGAAGTAATTTTTTCGAAGGGGCGAAAATACTGGTTAGCTGATTGGCCTATGTTGGTGATAAGCGGGCCAAATAAACTAATCAGATCAACGAAGCATATGACGTACTAACAGAGCGAC